AACTACCTGGGCCCGTTTTCTCGAACGCGAACCGTGGTTTCAAGTTAACTATTGTCCCTAGAAGGGGGAATTCTAGGTCACGTGACTCGGAGAGCAGGGGCGCCGAGGGAGGAGCAGTACCTAGAAGCAAAATGGCCGCAGCGTCGCTTAATGAGGGCTAATAGTTCTGCTTGGTTCTGCTGAGCATTCATTTCGATCCGGCTGTTATATTAATGACGCACCATCAACCTATTAGCACGTCAAGCAAAGCGATAGTTCAGAGGGACTACTAAACTAACCGACGGCAGCATTCCGCGAACGCATCACTCTTCAGCAGTCCGGGATCCAAGACATATGACGGTACATAAGCCTCGCAAGTGATTTTATGGCGAGTAAAAAAAAAATGTTTTGCGAACGAGTGTTGGTATATGTTTATAATAAGACGTTTAATTTGTTACATTATGCACGCCAACTCGTGAGCAGCGATTACTTTGCGGAGAAAGGGGGTTATCCTCAATAAAGTCTTCGTTCCGGGTGAACAGCTGAGACGTTGTACTGTTTTTTTGTTCACAGTGCGCCGACAGTATTCCGACAGCATTGAGGTTTCTACATATCCCCGGTGGCCAGCAATTCAACGGTGACGAGAACCTTAGCTTCTCGTCACCGGTGCATCGGTTGGGCAAACGGAAGAGAGGGCAAACAGTTGAGATCAGCAGGAATCGCAGAAACGTGCTTCGCAAGGAACAAAAACGAGACTACAGCACCGGCGTTGCCAGACTGGAAGGAACACGGTAAAGTTATGCGTTGTTTATGGCGAAACATATTGAAGGAAATGTTTCTTATATTTTCGAATATTCGTCGACAAACTCTAGCATAGTAGCTAAAATTTCTTCGCACCATCGGAAGCAAATAAATTGGTCTTCAAGTACAACATTACTATATTTTGTCTTAAAATAGCATACTAGATCGATGACAACCAGCGAAAAAAGAGGCTAAAAAAATGACTGGCTTGTTTCACCGGTAGATGGCGGATCTTATTGCCCAATCAAAAAGAATTATTGTTGCTCTATATCCAGCCGTTTATTACACTACTGAGGTACTTTTCCCTACCGTGGTTTACCAAAATGGGTTTACCATCGCTTCGAGAAAACCGGCCCAGAATAAGACGCTCCGCAAAAGAATGACCCGGAAACTTCAGCGGTTTGACGCATCCAGTAGAAATTTCTCTGAATACGTGTTTTACTGGCCACATTTATGCAAACATATTGCAAGACTAAACTACCAGTACAAAAAAGCGAATCTTTTTTTTTTTTTCTGCAGGGGTAGTTCGGGTCTAAAATTTTGTTGCATAAATGTGACCAGTAAAACACGTATTTCAGGAATATTCCTACTTGTTGCACCAAGGATCTAAATTTTGCGGGCCATTTTGTGTGTAAAGTCTATTTTGAGATGCCCATATAGTACCAAACTCCCCGAGTGGATACGCAGGCGCACCAAAAGTGTTAATTTTGAAAATGGTGAACAGGAGAAAATGAATCTGCTGTAACCAAAATATTTTAATATTTTTATTTTTGATTGGGCGATTGGGCCTTCGTAGAGACTCCGAAGGCCCAATCGCTCTCTTCCCCATAGGCTTTTGTTTCAAAGCAGTGTCCCTTTGTTTTTGTTGTGTTTTGCGATGCTGTTATTTGGCTTCTGGTGTGTATTTTATTGTCATGTTTTGTTTATTTTGTTAACACATGCAGCAGGGGAGAGTGGGGTAATGGTGGCACAAGAAGCTTTTATTATACGACTGACTTCAATTTTAAGAGGGCCAAAAATAATTCTCAGACGGTAGCAAAGACCATTTGATACCACTATACCTTGTGCGAAGCTGGGGTTACAAATTTTTCCGCCAAAAGTTGTTTTCTGGACGAGTATTCGAGTCGCTGTTCGGTGACAAGGCTGGTAGTAAAGCCCTTCACTGACCAATCAAAAATGTGTACAATATTTTCTTGGCCGAAAGGGCATTCATTTGTAGACGCGCAAGAAATAAAATTTTTTTTCTTGGCGAGCAGGTCTGCAGAATCAGTCACTGACTCACTGTGTCGGGGATGCTTCCTATTCTCAGAAGCATTTTTGTTGTCTAAAAACCGACAGAGATGTCGCGACGCTTTCACGACTTTTTTTTAGCCTGTCATAGCTGAAGCGGGCACTTCAGCTGTTCATTCAGACAACATATTCCGCGCATCTAACTCCGTCTGAGGGGAATTTTCCACTGAATGTCTGACCTGTCACTGTCCCGAGATCCACCATTTAAAAGCCTGAAAGGAAATAAGAAGCGGGAATAAACAGGCCCCTGTGGAATAGCTGCCAGTCAGGACGGCCAACAGTCCACTGTCGATGGGCGCAGACCCAAGCCAAGCTCTTTAAAAAAAATCCCGGGCCGGGGCCGGGGGGGGGGGGGGGCTCTGCCCCCCCGTGAAGCCGTCCGGGGGGGGCACGAGCCCCACTGCCCCCCCGTAGTTGGCGCTTATGGCTGGGAATGATAACTCGTATAACTCGACATTTTGTGGGTCATGCTTGCTTGCTCCGCTTTTTTTGCTCCCTTGTCAGGTCTAGGTCAGAATTTGGTTCAATAGTGCGAAATTCTCTTAGTGCACATGATGAAGCACAAATAGAGTTTGTTCAGAGACGCCTGGTACGCATAGCTGATGATAAACATTTTGGCTGAAACCATTTTTATAATTATGAACTCCTTGCTAAATCAAGGCTTCAGGTTTTATCCGCCAGAAGGCTGACACGTGATATAGTGTTTTTGCACAGAGTAATTCATAATGATATAGACTCCGAGCTTTTACGCAAAGTAAATTTTAGTGTTCCTGCTCGTTTTAATAGGAGGGCTTTTACTTTTTACACTCAGAACAATCTAATTTTATCTAGAATGCAGATATCTGTCAATACTTTTGGAAATGAAGACTTAGATATTTTTAATACCTATGTTGAATTCAAAAGACAATTGCGTAGTATGCTTTTTTCATTGTTAGTGATGTATATAAGTTGCTCGAATGAACTTCTGTTCTTCATATGAATTCATGGATGTATATTTTGGCCTGTGGAATTTGTGCATGATTATTTTCTTAACTTTTACATTCCAGTGCCGCATTATTCGTTCGTGGGCGCAATAAAGACACATATTGATGATGATGATGATGATATTAGCCTTTTGGCATCCGCGACCCTTTCCAAGAAAATTGAAGAGGGTGAACCCACACTACCAAGAAAAGCATCTAATAATGTTGCTCGGTTACACCCGTTTTTTCCACTCGTGGCAGATATATCAGAATAGTGTATTTCACTTGTTTCTGTTGTCCTGCCAGCGATCAGTTTACGGATCGTAACTAGAAGATGTACTTTCTCCTGATCGCAACGTAGCAGAATTGTTCAAACTCCAAAAAACTTACAACACCACGGCACAGTAAAGGGAAACATTGGCTGCCGCGGAACTAAATAGCACGTCAATTTCCGATACAGCACTAACTTCTACTTATGCTAAATATATATATATATATATATATATATATATATATATATATATATATATATATATATATATATATATATATATATATATATATATATATTACTGCAAAGGCTAAAAGTTACAAAAACAAAAATGCATAGAACCTGCAATTTCACAGCCCACACTACCAGCTATATGTTATCCGGGTTGGAATTCATTGTTTTGGTCAATTCCCAGGCCGTTGAACCGATACATCTCTTTTAAAGGAAACAAATGTTTAACATAAATAGTGCATTTCACCCGGAGAGGGGCATCCGTCGTGGTGATTCACGCTTCCCAATGTCAGCCTAGAGCAGACGACGCATCCACACAAGCGATTATTTAAATTTAGGCTGTACGCTGATAACACGATTCGATCTTCACTGAAGCACCGACCGGTACCGCACAATTTTCCGATAATATTGTTTTTCTATCGCAAATATGCGACAAAATAAACGCAAGAACCTACACCGTCTCGTGCGCGAACGTTCAGAGTCTATGGGCGATGCTTCTATCCCCGATTTGGTGATAATAATAGCGCGACAGTAGCACCACCTCTAGGTCGATCTCGAGGCCAAGAGCTCAGTGTCGTATATAGTTCTCAAAAAAACCAGAGCCAATATATGTTTCTTGTTCTCTTATTCTTTTTCCTCTTTTTTTTTTTTTTTTTTTTTTTTTTTTTTTGTGGGGGGGGGGGGCTCGAGGTACATTTATAACTTTTTTTAGACCAATCCAAAAAAAAGAGTGTGATAACTGAGACCTGTCACTGCAGTTACTTTGCATTCACGTAGTTGTAACTTAAATATAAATTGCAAATATGACGGCAAGAAATAAGTTATAAAAAGTAAACAAATTTAAACATGCGCTGAGGGTCACAGAGCACAAGCAAGCAACTGCCGGTTATTCCTCGAACCGCGTACATTTAGCAGCTTTTTCTTTTCTTTTTTTTCTGTTTTGCACACTGGAGCTCTTGGTTAAGCGGCAGCGTCCCGATCTGCTTCTTCGCGTCCTTTCCGAAAGGTGGCTTCGCCTTTTTTTTAACTTTTTTTTTTTGAGTTACGAATATGAAATACGTTCTAGGACGACCCTAAAAAGCGATATGGAAAAGTTACGTGAAAGTGACATCATCTGTGCAATGTCATCAGCCTCACGCAACCATGTTACGTGGACCTTGTGGCACGACGCAGCAGGGATCTCCAAGTCTCTGCGTGTTTTTAAGTCTTACGTGGTTTCTGCAGTGCTCCAACGTAGTCAAAGTTACTTTGGCGAAAGCGCGACTTTGTTGGACGTTTCCTTCGCACAAGAATACTTACGAACAGGCCGCAACGGAAAGCCGCATGCTCCCTAACTTTGAAATTTACGATAGCCTTGACAACCTAGCGTTAGACATTTAACGCTGAGTAGTTTTGCTTCGAAGTGTTTACATTTGTTGTGTCTCTCACACCGCGTGCCCGTCGTTCATTAATATAATTAAACTCACGTTTCTCTCGGAGCCTCCGACGATCGCTGGTGTTAGCACGACAACATCGACTTGGGTTTCTGGCACTTAGTCTCGACGCGAAGATTTTACAGCGACGTGGCTATCAAACCAAGAATTTTCACGTGACCGATAACGAAAGTTCACTCTCCTCCTTTTGTCTGAAGCACTCCGTTTCTGGTACAAAGCTGGAAAGGAGGCCCGCCGCGCCGCACACAAACGACTGATAACCGAGAATGCAATCGGGAACATTATCGGCGACAGCAATTTTTAGATACGCGAGCAGTATCTCATGGTGGGTCATTCCATGACGAACGTCCCAAACGATGATACCGACATACGCCAATTTCTTAGAAAAAAGTCGTTGTTGTTTGCTAGGTATCGAATGAACTTCAGCCAAAACATTTTTCAACGAAAAAAAGCTTTCTTTTTTTATATGTGTGCGTTTTTTTTTTTAAATTTCTCCATTGAAGTCAGACTAGGTACAAGGTAAATAACTGCTGAAAAATCGAAGTTATTATACGCTTCATTATTTTAAATACTCTGCTGAGATTCTTCTTCCCTGCGCTCCTCTTGTCCGTGTCTACTCTCCCCACTTGTTCGTGTTTCTTAAGCGCGTCCCGCTTTTCTAGGATTTCTAGTTTTCGCCGCAAGGGCACTGAATGTTGCACGAGAGATATTCAAATCCTAGAATATGGTGTGAATATTTTAGGAGATATCTTTAAATCCAACAATATATTGTAGTTTTGTTGTATTCGCTTTTCTCAAAAGAGGGCTAGCGTGCAAATCCGTATCACCAAGCTTCGTTTGGGGCATTGAGTGTGAGGTTTCACAAGAAGTCTCCTGGACATGGCTGCATGCCTCTCGGACGCTACGTTTACATAAACGAGAATATCTACTATCTACTTAATGAAGTTCGTATAATTAAGTGAATGGGACAGAAGTATTAGTTATAAACAAAGCGAAAAAATAAAAGTCACCGGATGAAGGAAAAGTTTCCTGCGTTGAGAGTGAACGCTGTGATTCAGATACTGACAAATACTTAGTTGTTTGTTAGCAGGACAAGGACAGCTTGTCAAATATTCGCCTCTGTCTTACAGATGTCGTAAGTTGCTATCATTCTACTAATGCATGCCAAGACTTGCCACTGGTTGATGTCTGCATGACCCAGCCAGCTCACCATAAGGCACAACTGGCATATTCGCACAAAACACGCGTACAATATTAATAAGGCCGATACGTTTCAGGCATAACCTATAAGAAAATTTGTAGGTCTCACGATAAGTTTTAAAGGTTATACGAAAATTAAACATATAAACAGCTATTTCCTCATATACAGATGTTAAAATAAGGACATCATTTATGGTGGATAGTCAGGTCAAGAGGAACAAAAAACAAGAAAAGAGGAATAAACAAGCCTTAGAACAACGCAAGGTTTCCCTTACATTAACCGGGCACTCCTTTCTTTCTACTCATACGAAGTCTCATTTAACCGCCTTCAGGGAAGTAACCATATCTTAGTGTAATCGAGCGTTCTTTGTAACGTACACTAAAACAGAACACTCCGACACACCTTTACAGCACAAAATATGTTTATACATTGGTTAGCTGCAAAATATTGTCACCCTCGGCTGTGACACTGGGAAGCCAGGTGGTAACCTTCTTTGGGGTTGGCATCGATCGAAACGCTTGTGCCACGTCATGATAATGACCTAAATCTTTGCGGTTATTGCGTAGACAAGTAGCTGCAGCTAAATGTTGTGCATATTAAAACATTTTTCTTCATTCATTTTGAACTTTTACGCAGTTCAAATAAGGTGGAAAGAAAACAGCCATTGTAGTTTCATTGCATTTTTCAATGGACATTAGGCAGATATCAGTGTTGCGGTATAGGCACTCCTATTGCATTCCAATCCTGTTCCGGGGAATGAAAGCTTGAAACACTTCCATTCCTTTCAACTTCTCGAAAAGAAAACACTGGGCCCATTTCCATTCTCTGAATGACTGGACTCCACCATTCCATTCCTTTAATTCCTAAATTTGAAAAAAAAAATGAAAATTGACAGCTACATTGTGTTACTGGAAAGAAGCAGCATAAAGTTGCTACGTTATTAAACACGAAGACGACTGCAAAAGTATACAAAAGCTTCCTCAAAGCATTAATTTTACTAAACCGAAGTGTGGTCGCACAGACGCTCCGTGACACTTGGTGTCACTGCAGACATCAATCGTCCTTTTAAGCGTGGAAGGCTTGCTAGTCGCAACAGACGCCAAAAATTAAAAGCACCCATTTTCTTCGCGGACGGACCGCATACCCCCCCAGATACATGGTTAGCGTGTTTTGTTTTATAAGGCCTTAAATATGTCTAGTCCATGTGTGGCGCAAGAAGAAGCTAACTTGCGCTCTGCTTCAAATGCTTGCACAAAAGCACCGCTAGTCTGCTGTTAGAAGCGACGCCGCTTATACTTGACCCAAATCTCCATGCACCGCGGCAAGAAAAGAAATCGCTGACAAAGTAAAGTCGGCATGCGGCGCCAGCACAAGGCAGTGTAGCAGCCAGTGGCGTTAAAGGGGGGGGGCGGTAGCACAGTTTTCTTGCTCAGATAATTGTCACTGGATATAATGAGCTGCGGACCTTTTAATAGGTTTGGGTATTTAGATGATTAATTGGTTTGAAGTTATTCCTAGCACAAGAATAAGAGAATAATTCCAATGTTTACATTATGTCCACAAAACGTATAAATTAATGAACGCTGTTCTCACTGCAACAAACCAAAGACGGAATTTGAGTCGGACAACTGAAGTGTGTGTGTGTTTTTATAGCAACGCGTTACGCATAGGACTTTATATTGTATCCAGTGTTTGACTGTTTGTTCATCTTCATAACGATGTCAGAGTTTCTTATACGCTAAAAATAAAACAAAATTATAGCTTTCTGGAAAGACTATTATAATTAAATGGCGTACTTTCGTGATCTTGGTGTTAATTAGGGCATACATTCCGGCGATTTGTATTATTAATAATAATATTAGACTTCAGATATTTTAACACGTAATTTTTTCAGGCTCTAATATAATTTATTGCTTATGATCTAATTTCAAACGCGCGAACAAATATGACAAACAAAAGTGGGCTAATTATAATCACTGGTGCCAATTGCAGCATTTTCAATTACCAAGTAATAAAAACAAAATAGTCTAAAATGAATGAAAACATTTTAGCTAATCTGAGAAATCTATGTAAAGTAACATTAATTGTGGGTAAAGTTAATTTTGCTATCAAAGTCGCGACGTTTGACAATCGGCAAAACGTCCAAAGTCGCCGCCAATATCCTTCCAAACCAAATGCAAAAAAAAATTAACTATTAATTATTTCATAACATATAGTTACTTTCAATGTTACGCCCCTCGTTTTGCCAATCTCAGCCTTTCCAGTTTGAAGGAGCGTATACCTGCTTGCACGTCTGCTCACCGCAGCACGTTTTGTTGGCGGTTGGAAGCTAGTGAAACCGTAGTGAGTTTTAGTATTACGTATACGAGCGAACGCAAGCACTGTGTGTTTGCGTTAGCTTTGCGTGTTCCACATTGCGCGTGCGCGGAGCCCAGAATTGCGCTCTTGGATGGCGCATAGTGATGAGGCGCACGCACAACGTGGGGCACGCAACTCTAACGCAAACGCACACCTAGCGTTTGCTTCTATGCGCAACTAATGGTGAATTCCGCTCGCAGATCTCGAGCGCTCCAAAAGCGCTCCATTTGGAGCGCGCATATTCCGCTCGCAGATCTGGCTCAAGTTGGTCATCTTCCGCTCGTAGATCTCTGGCAGCGCCCGCTCCACGGAGCGCCCCAAACTCCGCCGAACTTGCTCTGCGGGGTTTCACAGATCTCTCCGGAAGTTGACAGAGCGGCCCACGTGATTTCCGTCTAAATCGGCGGTGCGCATGCGCGGCGAGGTTGGAGAGATCGGCGGGCCGGTCGGGTCGTCGAGTTGGATCTGTTCGGGTGCGTCGGTTGTTTACTCTGGATTGTGACGGCTCCAACGCTTCTACTTCGCGTAGATCAGGGATAAAAAGCCGGGAATCTGGAGCGTGGCAAATCGTAAGCGCTGACATCTGTGATCGCGAGAGGAAGAACGAGATAGAACGACAGAAAAGCCGGAGGCAGACGCAAGGATATTCATTCTGCAGCCAGTGATTGTTTATCTTTTTGCACTGCATTCCGTCGGCGTTTTCCCGTGAAATAAAGCAAGAAGTGGTTAGGCAACGACCGCGCAAGTGATGGTTACCTCTACCGCTAAGTCGTACCAGAAATCTGAACTCCACCGCTGGCAATCGCTGTCCGTGCCCCGCCGCTTCGAGGCGGCCGAAAGGTATGTGACGGTGCCGAACGCGGACGTCTTCGTTATTTGTGACATGGGCGCCGCAGTACGTATAATTTCGCCCGGCCTGTGTCGCGTGTTACTTCTGCAGCTAAGCAGTGACAGTCGTCACTGGTCGTCGGAAAGGTCAGCCGGCTGAGGCGTTGGTGGGCTGGTAAAGTTCGAGCAGCGGCCATTTTGTACGGCGGAGAGAGAAGGGGTGGGAAGGGGTGTGGGGGAGGTCGCTCCAAAAATACAAGTTCATCTTCCCCTCGTCGATTCGGAGCGGGTCCCACGGAGCGGAATTTTGCCTCCCTCGCGGATTTTGGAAAGCGCTCCAGATCTACGAGTGGAATTCACCATAAAACTGTCTAGTAAGGTGCAATCCCATACCGGCTGCAGCACAACGTTGGGACAGTGAAGAGTGTTGTTCGCATTCGGAAATGACATTTCGCGAGCCATGATCGCGAGCAGTTCCGCCGTGCCCGCTGAGCAGGAGAACCGGGGGACACTCACTAGAGCGCTTCCCGTTTCCGCCGCGGGAGGGAGAGCGTCGAGCTGGAGACGCGAATAAAAGATCGGCTGGGTGTCACTCAAGTGATTTGGAGCGAAGATCGGCTGTATTTTACTCAAGTGCTTTAGTGTGAAATCAAAGAATGTTGTAACATGCTTCTATTTATCATGTCTGGTGACGCAAAGCCAGACCGCGGACAAATGACTATTAAAGAAACCCTTCAAAAAGTATTGG